GCTTGAGCCCAAGAGTTTGAGGTTGCTGTGAGCTAGGCTGATGCCACGGCACTCTAGCCCGGGCAAAAAGAGTGAGACTCTGTCTCAAAAAAAAAAAAAAAAAAGTAGAACAAGATTTATTTTTAAAAAGATGTTCATGAAGGTGTCTTAAGAGTAACACTGGCAAAAAAATAAATTTTAAAAGATGGTTAAACAAACAATAAGATGAAATACCATATGTAGACATTATACATTATAATATCAAATATGGTTTTTCAACATGGGGAAATGCTCATGGAATGTTAAATGGAAAATCAAGAGGCAGACTATATGTGCAGTATGATCTCAACTCTATTAAATGCATGTATTTGTATAAAACTGGTGAGAAATGTACTATTGTCAATGGTGGTTATCTCTGAATGGTGGGGTTGCTATAATTTAAATTTTCTTTATTCTTTTCTGTATTTTCCATTTTGACAAATTTGCATACATTTATAATAATAAAATAATTAAAAACAAGAAAAATAAACAAAAATTCATGCAATATTCAGAAGATTTGGGGAACACATTGGGAAGGTAAAATAGCATAGTGACTAAATGTTTGGACTCTAGATCAGCTAAACTTGATTTCAAATTAAGCTCCATTCCTTGAATAATATTGGGTAAATTATTTAGCTCTCTGAAAATGTTTCTTCAATTATAAAATGAGGCTAATGGTGTTTATCTGTCTCATAGGTTGTGAGAATCATATGAAATGCTGTAAACTGCTTAGCCTACAGTGTCTTATATGTAGCACATGCTCAATAATAGTTCACCACCCAGTGGCACTAGTAGTATGCCAACAAAAAAAAATGCTTCAGCAGGTAGGGCGAGGGTGTATTTTATCTCTGTTCACACTGCACCCTCTGGTGGTTACACAAAGAAAAGACTCTAGGCAGACACCTACCTAGGATTTATTCATACCCTTTGTCCATTTTTGCTGTTGTTATTGGACTGGACATATTTTTCCCAGATTTGTAAGGACCTCTTTGTATATTAAGGAAATTATCCTTCATGAGAGAAAGACTTAAAGCTGGAAAAATTATGTAAGTTAAATCATTAATTTTTATATTGAAAAAAGATAACTACTATTTGATCATTTTTATTTCAGCAGCCAAATACCAGACTGTAGGGTTCCCCACGTCCCCATATTTTCTTTCTGTGTCCTAACCAAAAATCACAGAGTGCCTTCACTATTCTGTGACCTAGCCAGTTGCAGGTTTTTCCCAGCAGGCTTGAACCCAAACTGGGGCCTTAAACATTCCTAGGCACTGATAAAGGTGTCTAGGTTGTTTCCCAAAACACTGAAAGAAGCTGGCCCCAGCCCTGAGCCAAATTCCTTAAACTGTCATATAAACTCCATACCGTGACGTCCTGGCCTTGCACACACCTAAATAGAGCACTCCTTTTCTCTAGCTGTCCATTTCGAGCACTGCTGTAGCATTTATAAGTTCCCCTAATAAATGCTTTAGACTGATCACCCTGATGTTTAGTGGTTCTTTCTTTAGAATCCCAACTGACCCCATCTTGAAATGATTCATGGCACCACCTTGTGAAAATTCTGCTGCCACTTTTGGGGCTACTCCAGCTGCAGGCTTGGCAGGAGGAAACACAGACTTTTGAATAACCAATGTTTCCTATGAATATTTGAAAAGCACTGAATTGGAAAATACGGAACTAGGACTAGATCATGTAAAAGTCTGCAATGAGGAGGCCTCATAATGGCAAGTCCATGTTTGTTTGTCTTTTTACATTAAATTTCTTAAACCGAAGTTACAAACAATTTGGAAAGGAGGGGGGAAATTACAACTCTCAATCCTAATAAAATTATTGCTAATATTTAGTATATTTTCTTCCTATTTAAAAAATATATTTTAAAAATAATTTCACCATTATAACATACATAAAATCCTTGTTTTCTTTCTGCAGGGATTAGTATAGCATAGTAGTTAAATGCATGAGCTCTGGAATTAGACTGACCCAGATTAAATCCTGCTTCTCCCCAACTTAATAAGTTTCTATGACTTTGTGAAAATGACTTAATCTTTCTAATCTTAGATCTCTTTTTATGTAAAATAGGAATGGTGATAATGATAATATCAATCTCATAGGAAGACTGTGAAAATTAAATGAGATAAGTACACAATCAGTGCTCAAAGATGTCTACATTGAATTAAATATCAATGAAGTACATGAATTCAATACCTTTTGGGTAATTCTTTTTTGTGCTCTGTTGCTAGTTCACTGTTTTCCCTAAGGATCTTTATTTCATTTGGTGTTACTTCATCATGCTGTGGATAGCAAAAGAAATCACATTTTTAAAAATCAGAACAACAATGATCTAATCAGTAATGTTTAAAAAAAAGTAAACTGGCAATATATACATAGGGTCATAAAAATATTTATACATTTAGGTCCATTCGATCTAGTTTGGTCGAGAAAACTTACAAAATTTCGTACATATACACTTTACTATTAATATACATTTGTAAAGAGACATACAAAGAAGACAAGAATTTTTTAAATACCAGATGTGGTTGTGTTGGATAAGTAAAGCTTTGACTGATTTTATTCTCTTTTCAATTTTTGAAATTTTCTTTAATGTGGTCATATTTCTTTTACCATATTTTACATATTACTTTTACCATATTACATATACCATTATGAAATTTTCATATTAGGTTATAAATCCAC